GGATGAGCTACGAGGGATGATGAGGGAACGGTTCGTACCAGCGTACTATCAACGCGAATTACACGAGTCGTTGCAGGCTATTCGTTAAGGCTCGAGGCTCGTCGATGTCTACTTTAAGGAGCTCGAGATGCTCTTAATCCGGGCTGATGTGCGAGAGGATCAAGAGGCGACGATTTCGCGCTTCCTTCACGGCATCAACGGGGAGATTAGGAATGAAGTGGAATTGCGCCAATTCGTAGACCTGGAAGAAGTAGTTCACCTTGCTATCAAGGTCGAACGACAATTGAAGACTGTAACAGGGCGCCGATTCCAATCCACGACCTCTCGATAGAATGCTGCGGTGAAAATCGCCTCTCAGGAAGCTACTGCTCGAACTCGTCCCAACACGGCAAAGGCTGCGGGACAGGGAAATGTCTCTGGTGTTTCCGAAAGAGCTGGGGGAACTACCAGCAGGTTGGAGTGATTCAAATGCCATGGTCGGGGGCACAAATCATTTCAATGCCTAAACACGAAGACACTGGATCTTCGCGACGATGAGTACTATTCTGATGTTGAAGAGGAGGCGGAGAGGCCTGATCACATGCCCTCCGACGACGACGTCGATGAAGAGGTCATTGCTGAGACTCCACCTGGGAAGCTAGTGTTTGTAAACAGAAGACCCCTCACGATTGAGGCCGATGGTGAAACTCAGCAGCGAGATAACCTGTTCCACACTCGCTGTCTAATACAAGGGAAGACAGCTTCGATGGTGATCGATGGGGGAAGCTGTAGCAACGTGGTGAGCTTGGATATGGTTAGGAAGCTCGGGCTGAGCACGCTCAAACATCACGAACCCTACAGCCTCCACTGGCTTAATGATCATGGTGCGGTTAAAGTGACTAAACAAGCTTGGGTGGAATTCGAAATTGGGAAATACAAAGATCGCGTTCTCTGCGATGTAGCGTCGATGCACGTCGCCCACGTGCTACTAGGAAGACCCTGGCAGTATGACCGAGGTGTTACTCACCATGGGAGGACGAATTGCTACACTTTCATGATCGAGGTGCCCCAACATGGCAAAGGCTGCGGGACAGGGAAATGTCTCTGGTGTTTCCGAAAGAGCTGGGGGAACTACCAGTAGGTTGGAGTGATTCAAATGCCTTGGTCGAGCGCAAAAATCATTTCAATGCCCAATTACGAAGACACTGGTTCTTCAGGACGGTGAGTACTATTCTGATGTTGAAGAGGAGGCGGAGAGGCCTGATCACATGCCCTATGACGACGACGTCGATGAAGAGATCATTGCTGAGACTCCACCTGGGAAGCTAGTGTTTGTAAATAGAAGACCCCTCACGATTGAGACCGATGGTGAAACTCAGCAGCGGGATAACCTGTTCCACACTCGCTGTCTAATACAAGGGAAGATAGCTTCGATGGTGATCGATGGGGGAAGCTGTACCAACGTGGCGAGATTAGAGATGGTTAGGAAGCTCGGGCTGAGCACGCTCAAACACCACGAACCCTACAACCTCCACTGGCTTAATGATCATGGTGCGGTTAAAGTGACTAAACAAGCTTGGGTGGAGTTCGAAATTGGGAAAACAAAGATCGCGTTCTCTGCGATGTAGTGTCGATGCACGTCGCCCACGTGCTACTAGGAAGACCCTAGCAGTATGACCGAGGTGTTACTCACCACGGGAGGACGAATTGCTACACTTTCATGATCGATGCTAAGAAATTCAAGCTGCAACCGTTGTCACCCGCGGATGTCTGAGCTGATCAGCGACAATTGGCTTCCAATCGAGCCACGAGCGACGGCGAATCCAACAGCTCGAAGGGTAATGGGGTCGACTTAAAAGGTCAGAGGCTTGTGCTTACAGCCCTCCGACGTGAAAGATGTCAGCCAGCAGCAGAGACGCGCCAGCTCTATTTCAGACGACTGAAGGACAGGGGAAGAGAGAGGGTGAATTGGTGGAAGAGATGGGGCCAGCCCAGGTCGAGCCAAAGACGTCGACACATTCGTCAAGATCCCTGGAACGTGTAGTCAAGGTCAATTGGAGCCGAATCTCTTCGTATCGAAAAGCCCCAATTCGTAAATTTCGGGTCAAACGGTGAAGAACAACGACGTCGTGGAGTGTGAATTGGACGTAGCGTTTGAGTGTGAGTCAAGGCTATTGGCGACTGTGGACAAGCTCAGAATCGTCCAAGGAAGATTGAGGATCGATCGATTGGGTGAGGAAAAGCGGAAGCGAAAATACCCAATTTCAATTAGGGGTCGCCGGATTATGGGTTCATGTCACCGTATTCTGGGAAATTTAAAACTCCCGCTGGCGGGAAACACGGGGGTCGCGATGGGGATTGAATTGGCCATAATCGAAGCTGTAGGATGGTTGGGATCAACTCCTAGAAGCTCGATGGGTCGATTTCAAGCACTGAATTGAAGCGAGAAGGCGATAAGAAGAAATCCCCAATTTTGGAGTCTTCGCCGGAACATTCACCGTCGCCGGAAACTGCAAATTTTTGGTTGACACTTTTGAGTGAGCATCCCTTTTCGGATCCAGTTTGGGATCATTTTTGTAGGTCTTTTGAAGAGAAGAAGGCCCAAGCTTTGAGGGCAAAGCTTTTTCAACATGGGGGCTTGATATGATCCCAAACCCCTTGAATTCCAAACCTCAAAGGGCCGATCAAGAAGCTGGATCAATCACGGATAAGAAGAAGGAATTTTGGCTAAGTCATTTTGGTGTTGCAGGATATCATCTTAGGAAGCTTGTTACTCCCAAATGGCTCAATAGAAATTCTAGTGCAAGGTGTCATTTTGAAGATAAAGTTCTTATCTTTACGTTGGTGTACCGTGGAGCTCAACGGGATGTCTGGAAGGTCATTTTCGAAGTTGATCAAAGGATACCTCAAAACAAGAAAACTGCCTGAATTTGGCTAAGGCAGAAACCTGTTCCGAGATACCAACTTTGAAGGCCTATATCTGGAGTTTGGAGTATGCGCTCAGGCTGATTCAAGTTGGAGGTGAAAGAGGAAGTGTTCTTCTTCAAAGGCAAGGAATTGGTTGAGTTGGAATCAACCTAGAAGACCATTTTCGAAGGCCTCAAAGATGCTATGTAGCCTGTTTTCCCAGGCAGACTTGCTTGTGTTTTAAGTCAGTTTCTTGGTCAGCAAGTTACCTTGTTTTACACGAATTCTTTAGCCTTTTCCTGTTCTAATTGGCTTCCTTGTTAGTTTAGAAGTGTAATAGGTTTTCATTGGCTATAAAAGCCCTTTAGTTTGCATTGTAATAGATAGAATACGATTGAATGAATTTTACCCCAATACCCAAACTTGAGAGTTTGTGAGTTTGATTGGTTTTTGGTTGCGATAAAAAACTTGATGAACCTTGATTATCAATCGAGAATCGCCCTCGATTGCATCGAAAGCTTCCTCATAACGAGTGTGCATCCTTTCAGGTGTAAGGGTTCCCGTTCGTTTCCATCCGAAACTGAGTTTGTGAGAGCTTGACCAAGCTAGGGTAGAGTTCTGTTTTAATACGACATCAAATTCTTGACCAAGCTAGCTCTCTGCGAGACTTTGTTCCTTTGAGACCCGATTTTGGGCTCATCAATTCTTTTTATAGGTTTGTTATTTTCAATAGCATATGATCGCTGAACATGCATAAGGTAGAAGGGTCGTCGAATAAATTATTTATGTTTAAACTTCTTTAATGAAGCCATTGTTTCAATTTGTATGGCTAGTAGTTGATCTTGATGTAACTTTTGCGTAATGAAGCAGCTTCTCTGAATCTTTTTAAAAAATTATTAAAAAAACATTTGAGTGTTTAGCTGAAAAACTATCAGAATTACTTTCTAATATAAGAGGTAATGTAAAATGACTAAAAATATTTCTAACATAAAATATGAATACAAATTCTAAAAAATAAAAAAAGATTTGTTTTGTTAAGATGATCTCAAATCGGAGCTCTGCTTTTAAGTGCAAAAAACTTCAGCTTTATAGAAAGCGAAACTTTGAAAGTGTTTGGCTTGATTTCAACTTTTAAAACATAAAACTTCTAAAATTCGGGGCAAACATAGTCGTATTCTTTAGGCTTTTTATTGGTTTGAGGTAATCGTAGTTCTCCTTTATGAAACTTTTGAACTGATTGCATGTTTGAGGAGGTTCAACTCACATTGATCGGGTCAAATTAGGTTGGATACCCATGGGTTTGGGTTCAATGGTCTTTCTAAAAAAAAAGGAAAAAGCGAAATGAAAAACCCTAAAGCTAAAACTTGCTACCGAATCAAAACTCGTCAACACTAGGTTCAACTCGCTTTGATCTAGTTGAACCGAGTTTTGGGAAAACTCACACCTGACACACCAGCCAATTATAAAAAGATATAAAACTCGCTCCTGCCGAAAACATGTAAAACTGGGTTCAAGTCACTTTGGTCGGGTCAAATTAGGTTGGACACCCATGCGTTTGGACTCAATTGTCATGTTCAACCAAAAGGAAAAAGATACTAAAGCGGATAAAACTCGCTCAAGACCCCAAACTCTCAACAGTGCGTTCAACTCGCGTTGACCGGGTCGACCCAAATTTAAAAAATTCACAATTACCCAACTTGTCAATTACAAAAGCGGATAAAACTCGCTCTCTATACGAAACGCGTCAACAATGGGTCAGAGTTCAATTGTCATTCTCAACGAAAAAAATGAGATATAAAAAATATTAAAGCGTACAAAACTCGCTTCCTTTGTTTCTTTAGTCAATGTGCCAAATATAACTCTTCTATAACAACAAAAGTTCACGTATTTCTTTCAACAATGTGGTATAATCTACATTTAAATTGACAAAAGGGCGTGTCTTTATAAGAATTTCACGGTGGGAGTCAAGCTTGTTATGGATTCTCAACTGAACTATCCATGTTCGTTGATCATATCAGAATTCGACATAGGTTTGAAAAACTCGTGGAGCCAATATATATAACGAAGACAATTATGTTGTCGATAATTTGTCTAACATTCTCTATAGGTGTTCATTTTTTTTCTAAGCCAAATCATTCCATCGGCTGCTGGTTATTATTATATGACACTCTTAGCTTTTGAATGCCATGTGACATTTCATCATATTAAGTATCTTCCACCCATCTTCCAATGCAAAAAAGAAATCATACAAACATGTCCTTTACAACAAATCCAATCTCTTTTTTCAAGCATGAAAAAAACCAAACCATGCAATAAACAAAACGAGAATTCTAGAAAAAATAAGCTCAGAAAAAACCCAAAGAAGTATGAATCTAATAGAAAGGGCAAAAACCACCCAAGAACATAAGGGTGTTATTTGTCCAGCAACCATCCGTAGTACTAGTAGCAGTATAAAATTTCACACAAAAATGGCTCGCCTGCCAGATTTAGTCTCTCAAAATCCCATTAAAAGATTAAATAAACCCACACAAAAAACCATCTCTAGAAAAGGAAGGCTTATAGGCCCTGATCAGCAAGGTAATCTCCCAACCTCTCCACCACCATATTGCATTGCCCTGGAGTTACTGGTTCATCATACAGACCAAACACTAGTGCTTGCCCTGTTTTCTTCACAGTCACACCCCCAGAGCCCTTAAATCCAAAGAAGAATAGATAGTAAGCAAAAACATCTTAGAATGAATATGCTTATCAGGGTTTGTTGAAAATCACACCACAAAGGTAAAATCAGTGGATCAGTAATTGTAGTGTGTAACGGCCCTTGAACAAAGAGGTATCGCATCGAAAAGATTAAGGTATGCACCTAACAACGATTTGTTATAAGTGGTCCCCCGCGAATTAGTTATGAACTGTCGGTAATTGGGTTTAAGAATCAAATGATGAAAGTTGTAAAGGGAAATTAAGCATGGAGAAGCTTTATGAGTTTTCACATGATGGTTTGTCTTAGGGGTCGTTTAGAAGTTGGGAGTCTACGAATATGTGTATTCTTGCAATGTATGTATTCTAAGTATAGTGATTGTAAGAAATAGATGATTTTAAGAATATGTTGTTTGGTTGTTGTGATTCTCACTTTTGAAGAATATAAGGATTCTCACTTTAATGACCTAAAAGACTTACATAACCTTGAAGTTCTCATTATGTAATCATTAAATGAGGGACAAATATGAAATATATAAAAAAGAATAAGGATAAGAGTGTAAAAAACAATTACAAAAGTAAAACAAAAGAATCTCACCTTTTTGTAGAGATTCTAAATGAGTGATTCTAACCATTTGAGATTCTAAAGTTTCATTTAAATGCATGCATTCTGGACAAATTTACGTCAAAAGAACGATGGATTGTAAAGAATACACACATTCACAGAATCACTCATTTAGACTCCTTACTTCCAAACGACCCATTAATAAAGTAACTTCTATAGTTATCTTTACAACATATATTGGACTAATTATCAGATTTCAAAAGGGATCTATCGGGTTTTATCTCATGACTAAATTGGGTGACCTACAATTATTCAGCCTGATCACCCTAATGAGATATCTATATGACCGACTTATCAAGGGAAAACTGAACTATAATTTGAATTAGGAAATGAAGAGAATGTGCCATCATTAGAAATGAAATTATATATTTGAAACTATCGGGAATGGATGATTACATACCTTCTTTCCACGGATCACGGCTCCAGGCTCTCCTTGGATGACCATGTACTTTGTCCCAGCCAGATGCAATCCGGTCGGGGCAAGGGTTCCAGGTTCATCAAAATCTTTCATCATGGAAGTTATCTCCTCTGGTTTACACTACACAAAACCAAGAACCAAGTAAATTCCATGGATGAAAAGAACTAGAACATATTCATTTCTCAACATTCAGAAGGAAGCCAATTTTGAGCGCAGATGAGTAACAACATTTTAACGTCGTATAATATCAATCATTAGCGATAATGACAGAAATGGCAAGATCCATTACAAATTAAACCTATCCTCATGTTTTTTTTTTTCATTACTGAACTGGAACTTCGGCATCACAATATTTCATAAATAAAAATTGATAACATAACATCCATGTTCGTAAGTTGTAGGCATGAATAGAATCACATATCTAGGATGGTAACGGCCTCCACATTGAGGCGATAAAAATAAACCATAATAATTATCACAATATTCAGAGTCAACAATTTTAATCCATTAATATCATGAGAATCAATTCTCTTGCACCAATCAGTGCCTCAATCTTTATCATCCCCCTACAGAGCGTGAGATTATACATGTTCTTAGAAATTTAGTTTCCAATCAAAGAAAACGATAGCAAGATCATTCAAATAAAATCGATCAACATGCGCATAGAAACGCGAATGAGCACAATTTAGAAAGATTAAAATTCATAATCCAGATTCCTTAATCAGTTTAATCCATAACAAACCTAGAGGAATAGGTTGAAAAACCTTCAATCTAATATGAACACAAAGCAGAAACACATGCACAGAGAAATAAGGAAAAATGGAAAGTGATCGATCAAGCATCACAGATCCAACTAAATTCTGATTCTCCGTTCCTTTGCAGTCGCCTAAAAACGCGATTCTCAATTCCAATTGAGAAAAAACATAGGCGAATGAATACCGTAGGGAAGTTGGCACTCTGAGCCCATACGCTACCATCATGGCCGATGATTGCAGCGGCAGTGAGGTGGTTGCCCTCAATGTCGCACATGAGGTGCTCGTCAACGTAAGTTTGCCACGACATTTTTTTATACCAGAATCTCTCTTTCTTTGTGTTTCCTTTCTAGATCAGCCAAAGGGAAAGAATGGAAAATGGAGAATTGAGATCGATTTCTTAGCTTGCAACCACTTGGGGTCAAAGGCAAGAGGTTTATATATAGAACACTCGCCCTCTTATGATCGCAATATTAGTGAAGGGAGAGACTAAGGCGCGATGGAATGAGAAGGCTGAGAGGGGGTACGATTGGGTGCGGGTGAGGGGCATGTTGATGTAGTGGGGTGAGTGAATAATGTATGTTTATTCCAACATGATTAAATCAGTGTCGTTCACATTCTCCCATCAGCCCTTCTTTTTTTCCTCTTTCTTTCTCCCATTTTTGCCGTGTGGTTTGTTTTTAAGTTTTAACTATTTTCTCTCTCCCTTTCTCTCTCTCTCACTGTCCCTTCCATGCCAGTGGCAGAAATTCTAAATTGTGAAATGTATGATAAATGGAAAACAGGAAATATGAGACATGGCGGGGATCCTTTACGGGAATAACATTTCATTATTTATATGTAGCTTGGTCTCCTTAATCCACGTGTTGTTTTCTACGAATGGTCAATGAGAATAACATTTTGACCCCATGCCCGAACTCTGATGAGGTTACATTGTGAGCCTGAATTGATTCGCAAACCTATTACATTTTTTAGTACCCCCAATTATATTTAAAATGTGTATTTTAATTATTTTTTATAAATAAGAGAGCTTTTATTTCATCAAATACCATCAGTACATTTTGGCATAGTGTTCCAAGATTTTTACAATCATCCCATCTTAATACTCTTACTACTACTACTGCTACACAAGACTAATTAAGTACAACATCAATGCTAACTACATGTCAGAATCAGTCATACAAGAATTACTACTCAAACTCTTCAATTCTACCATATCTTTAAGCTTTGATAATAAATCTAGAACTTAAGGACCTTATTTCTGAAAACTAGTCGAACTGTTCCCTCCACACTTCACTAACCAACATAGTTTAAAAAAACTTCCTATTGGATGCTTCCCTATTTTCTGCAGTCCTTGACACCCTGAATCATGCAAGTGTTACCCTCAACAAGTGTTACCAACCTCACTTGAAAAAGATAACCAAACATAAGTGACTTTGTATTGCATTGTCTTTTTTTTTTTTATCTAGATCCGGGACATATACCTTTCTCTTATATCTACAATGGCAATGAAGATATATTCGGGGGCTACAGTTCATCATAGTTTCCTTAGAATGATGCATTCATCAAAAAGAACATACGACCTTTTTCAATATCTTTCGCAACTTCTATAGCGTCCATCCATGGGTTACATATTTTATTTACTGTGCAAATTGAGTTTAATCAACTTTGTCTCTCTTATCTTCTGGATCTCCCTAAAATTAAGAATAAAATTCATATTATTAGTGATTGTAAATTGTAACTTTTTGAGATAGATTTGACAATGCTTGTTGTAACTTGAATTCTTCTAATTTGGTATGGGTTGAGTCTTAGGTAAGTTTCAAGATACTTTTGATGACTTGCTTGAAAATCTAGTCAAATTAAATTAGGTATTGAGTTGTAAAACGCGTTAGGCTCAGTTACTAAATTGTCACTTCTCAAGATAAACTTGACAAATACTTTAAATTCTTCTAATTTTATGTGTTATTTAGGTAAGATTCAAGACACTTTTGATGACTTATTTACAAAACTAATAAAATTTAGGTATTGAGTTGTAAAATACGTTAGTTCATATACTAAATTGTAACTATTTTAGATATATTAGTGTTAATAAATATTCATCACCCTAACGTAAATTAAAATTCAACGCCTTTTGAACAACAAGTGATTATGTTAAGAATGCCTAGCTATCATGAACTAATACATCTATTCCTGCGTGAACCCATTTTTGGTATAGGCCTCTACGCGACATTGCTTTGTCAGGTATTCGTCCCTTGCAAAAAAATCCCCACTGCTGCTTTCCGTAGGAGTCTGGGTCGTGCCTCATATTTGAATATTTGACTAACAACGTATTATCATCTTAAAAAATTATAACTAAATTATCAATATAAATTATTCCTCATCCCAACAAAATCAATAATTCAACAAATTTTTCATAACAATAGTTGAGTATACTAACAATTACTAGTCAACTTTCTAACAATAACTAATTCAACATATTTCTTAAATATTAATTTTAGTTCACTAACCGTGTTACTCATTTTTTTTGTAGGAATGTTACTCATTGTTTGATGTAGATCTATCTACAAATCCGAGTTGGAGAAACGGGAAGAAATAAATCTAAATAATTAAATCATTATTGTTAATAACCTCAAATTTTCGTAAACCGAAGCATACGATAAAAATACAAACCAAAATAATTATAAAAATCGGAGACACATTCATCCTGAGTCCGACTATGGTCGACAACATGTTGATAATGCGTCCGACCATGACCGTGGAAACACAACATCACGTTCTTGTCAAGAACCAGTTGATCTCAATAAATCGAGTTGTTGGGAGAGGGCCGCTGATTCGGGCCCAATTGTACACTTTTTATTCCAGTTTCTCTTTGACGTTTGTGGCAATTGAGCTCCAAAAGGGTGGTTTTACGCTAGGTTTCTTGTGTTTCAATGTGTTTCAGAATCTAACAGCTGAAACCAACCCCAGAGTCGAAAGTTGGAAGAAAAGGAGCGAAGACCGGGCAAAGAGGAGGATTCAGCCAGAGTTTACGATCCAATATTGGAGTACACGGTCGCTGGGACCGTGAACTGGAACCACAAACCGTGAACTGCGAAGCGTCCAAAGGGGTTTTTTAAGGTTACTGACGCCAAGGCAGTTCACGGTCGCTAAGACCATGAACTGGAACCACAAACCGTGAACCCCAAAAGTGAAGCGGTGCGTTTTGAGCCAGCTCACTGAGTTCACGGACGCGTTTGGATGTTCACGGCCGTGAACTGGGCACGATCTGGGTATAAATGGAGAGCTGAAAGGAAGAAGGGAGAGCTCAAAGTGTGAGAAATCTTCTTCTTCTTGAAACCCTAGAGAGAGGTAGTCACGAACCAAGATGGAGAAGAGGCTAGGGTTTGCTCCAAATGAAGATTTTGGAAGTTCCTCTTCTTTGGAGGATCTCTACAAGCACAAGGAGAGTTGGAGGAATCACAATGATGGTTTCTTTCTTCCTCTTTTGCGTTCTTCCTTTGTCTAGCATGGAGTAGTTTCCCTTTTCACTTGGGTGTTGTAGAACCCTAACTACTATAATGTAATTGATTGTGTGGATTGAAAGATTGTGTGCTGGTGGTGTTTAATTTAAGAATTGAGGAATTTTTCTTGGTGATTGTTCATATTGTTTGCTTGGCTATCTATTGTGCTATTCTAACCTAGCTTAGAGAGAAACAATCCATCTTAGAGCATACTTGCCTTATATTTCACCCATATAAGGTTTATACTTGGGCCTTAGGTGGAATTTTATTGTGATAGTCGGAGCGAGTCAACCACTCCGATTTCATGTTGTACCAAGAAACAATCCGTTGTTTTCGGATCCTCAGGCGAAGCAGAGGTCTTCTCAGTCTTTATCTTCCTCTCCAACTCATATCATATACCATTTACGAACACACCCCCTCGAACTCAAGCCAATCATATAGGCTTTCAGAGTGCACAGACACACGTCCGGACACCATGTGCTTAACAAAAACAGATGGGGGTCACCGAGACTTGAACATAAGCCTTTCGCTCACAAAAAGCTCTGATTCTATGATAATCGATCAAACAGAATATTGAAACGAAATATTGAAAATTACAACAACATGTTTTCGTGGTATCCCCTGTTTCCCAGGAATAATCCATAGAAGAGCTTGAAACTCTTCGGCTACTGATTTTAATGATATGGTGTTCTGATGATAGTGCAGAAAATAATGCAAACCTTATATATGGCTGCCGAACCCTAGGATAGACAAGCTATAAGAAACAACGTCTATCAAATAGGTTGCATGGGTAGCATGGACGGATGACGGGGAGTGGGCCAAAACACTATTGCTCGAAAGTTCTATCATGACCAGACGCATTCTCAACACGTCACAATGTTGGACTCCATATTACTACATCTCCGGAAAAGCTGTGGTGGCTAACCTCTAAACAATAGTGGAGGGTGAACGAGGTGGTGTGTGACCGCGGGATGGTTGACCAGTGGTGGCGATTTTTTAGCGGCTACCAGAGATAGTGGCCGACGGAGATTGTGATTGGAGGTGTGTTTGGTAGAGAGTTTTGACAATTTTAAATTAAAATTTATGCAATGGGTATATATAGTAATTGTTATTAGCATAAATTTTAAATTTTAGAGCTATAAAAAGGATGATGTAGGATTTCAAATATGGTACATCCAATGAGATTTGCTATTTAGACCATGAATTAGTTGGAGTATGGGGCATGATACTATACTACTCTTGCCTCTTTTGGGTGAACCTTAGTCCCTAATTCTATAAATCCAAACTATATGATTTATTTAATCTAAAAATAATAACCAATGATTTTGATTCTTTGAAGTATATCGAAGTACTTATAATCAATTTGGTTCAAAGCTGTAGCTTTAGCTTAAAAGCTTACGCTTTTATGTTCTTACCACCCCATATATAGTATTTTCTTTGAAAATTCTTTTGAGCTTTATATAAGCTCTTTAGAAGCTCTATAAGCGCATTAAAATCCTTATAAAACTAGCTTTTTAACTATTGGACTTATTTACGTTCTTACCTCCCCAAATATAGTATTTTTCTTTGAAATATCTTGTGACACAATAAAATTTATATAAGCTCTTTAGAAGTTCTATAAGTGCATTAAAATCCTTAAAAACTAGTTTTTTAAGGATTGGACCTATTGAATAGCTCTGACAATCAATGGGTTGGTCAAGTGGTGTTCTGGGTAAGAAGTATAAAGTGATCATGTCACTACAAAATAAAGGGTCTATCGCAAGGGTTTTTTTCAATCTGTAGCAAGGGTTTTAACCCCTGTTACAAATTGCAGCAAGGGTTTTGACAACCCGTGCACGAACCCTCACCAATGCTGCCACTGCTACATATAGCAAGGGTTTTGAGCAACCCACGGTGAAAG